GCAATGTAATGGCGAGTCTTTCTCTGGGCTAAATCGAGCGTCACTCAAAATTTTGGCTTTTGCAGCTTCTGATTCATCGAAATCATCAATCAAAATAGCCTATCCTGAGCGAAATTAGACCGTTCACAGTCCCCTATTTTTTCGTGAGATCGTCGAAATATAGCGCATCTTACTGTTAATGGAGGACATCTTGATTTTCAAATGTACCTGGGGGGGCGGGCGTCGGGGATTATAGCTGTAGGGGAAGGGGGGATTTTTCTCGCTTCCTCCCAAACCGCCCCCGCTCCCTAAGTAGTTTTCACACTCATGCAAGATGGCGGCCCGTAATAGTCTGGCAGCATTTGTACTTCCGTGGGAAGTTCGTGCTGAAAGCAAGCAATTGGTCTAGAGGTATTAAGAAGACCTCGAGTAACAAGAAAAATCTAGTTGCCGGTTTTGTAACCCGCACCAAGGCTTTTCAGGGGGGGTTAAAAATTAACTAAACAGACTATGTATGAAAACAAGGCTGGGAACTGACCTCATTGACATGGATAAACAAAAAACGGATGGGCTGACACCCAGCATACCACAACTAAGAAACTGCTTTTTAAGAACCTGTCAGGCTAAAATTTTGCCAGTTAGGCTGTCTTTTTAAAAGAACCCTCAAATTTGAAACAAATTACTAATCATAACCATTACAATTTCCTCAGATTTGATTGGTGCATTAACTGCTTCATTTTTATTTAATTATTGTGGGTGGTTGTAGTCAGACAGTTGCCTGTAATCGGGCAGTTACATTAGCAAATCATATTAAGTGCACTCAACTAAGTCCACCCATCACGTTATCACAATTACCGTTGTAGCAACAACCACTTACCCAAACAAACTGAGGATTAATCCAAAATGGACGAATATGTAACATTTAGGCAGCGTCTCCACCAGTGATATTTTCATTTCACTGCGTATGGGTTTGGGCCCGGGCCGGAGAGCGTTGTTGTTGTTTGTTCGTTTGTTTAGTTTTTGAACATTCGTCACAGGTACAACACCAGTACCTTTTTCTAAATATTTCTTTCTTATGCACGATATATATGAAAAAATAAGGTGGGGTTAATAACGAAACAAGCACACGTTTTTCTCACTAATACTTCACAATACTTTTATTTACCCAAAAGTTTCGATCAGCTGCAATGACTAATATATGCTTGTTACGACGGGAACTTAACACGAACTTGTCACAAGTGTCACAAGTCTCAGAATGTACAATTCGCACGGCATGCCAACAAACCTTAAACTGAAATAATGGACATTTTAAAAGTACAAGTGTCAGCAAAGCTTGTTTCAGTCTTCTATACAATGTAGTTAGTTACTAGTTACATAGAGGATCTGGATGGGATTTGACTGAGAGCTCAAAATTAGCCAACATTTTAACCGTCAGCTGAGAAATTGATGAAACGATTTGTTATTAATCTTTATACAGCCGAATTCTAAGGTACAAAAATTAACAGATGGCTGAAATATGGCTGAAAGTCTGACTGATGATTAATATCCGATCATCCCCATGCAGATTCTCGACATAACATAGTCTATTTACGCTAATCCACATTAGTTCTAAAAACTGGAATTCAACAAGTACAAAATTACAAGACTCAGTGTTTACTGTTACACATTACATGATTAATGAAAAAATGCATCACAAACGGCAAGAGAGCTGTTAAAGCAGAAATATTTCATTTGGCACTTTTCGTAAAAATTGCTCGGCTTGAAAAATGAATAACAAAGGAATTTTAAGGACAGCCGTCTATGTACATATATTTTGATTACATTCCTTTGTTAGCCTGAATCTCAGCCGTCTCGAGTGAGCGGGCGGAGAAAACGGCTAAAATTCAGGCTAATTCCTTTGTTCAATAACTGAATTGTTTCTAAATATCATTGCATGAACTACCTTCTTGCCAGGCTCTAACTACGAAACTAGACTGAGCGGTGCGTGATTTTCTTAAACTGAAAAAATCCATTTACGTTGAAAGAACGTGGTGAGTTTTACAAATAGCGCAAAAGAAAAAAAAGAAAGAAAATGAGACTGTGAGTAACTAGTATTTTTTAAATTTGCTAATTTCCTAAAACGGCAATGAAATACAGGGAAAGAGAAAACTCAACGAAATTTTAAACTTTTAATGTGGTATACGGTTACGGTGTGCATTATAAATTGTGTTTTTTGAATAGATACACTGATGTCATTATTAAATTAATTGCCACCACAATTACTTTTTCAGTGTTGTATTTGCTTCAAGCGTTTTAGAAAGAAATTCAGCGCGATCAGAACCAAGGTTATTAAAACGCAAATTTAAAATTCTCAGAGTTGTGTTTGTTTTTAGCGCTGTAGCTAGTGACTCCGCACCGGCAGGACCAAGGTTATTTTCGGACGAATCCAAATTTGTCAGAGTTGTGTTTGTTTTTATACCCTGCGAGCCCTGGTTTCTCCAGGCCGGACGCTACGCTACGATGGGAAGGAAACCACTGCGAGCAACCGTTTGCTTTTCCATCGAGCATGCGCGTCCACTTGATGACTACGAATATCCAACGACAAGACGGCGACGAGAACTTCAACAAAACAATAGGTTTAATAAGCAAAACAACAACTTTACACGTGCATCACGCTTTTATTTTTGCATTTCTTTGCCATTCTAGCACGACTACGACGTGAAGATGCCTAAAAAAAGGACCAGATGTATCAACTTTGCTATTTTCTTTTAGCCTGCTGCTCTCCTCTCATTGATGTTTTTTTTGCTTGTTTTTTTGTTTTTGTTTTTGTTTTTTTTGTTTGTTTGTTTGTTTGTTTTGTTTCGTTTTTCTTTTGTAGTTTTTCTTTCTTTTGTCACTTTTTACTTGTATTTAATTTTTTTTTTTGTTAAAATAAATAAAAAAACACTTGGGTGTTTATTAAAAAAAAAAAAAATAATAATAATATGGATATGGTCCCTTGGAATTTAACTCCATTTGGGTTCGCCTACATTTGACATAGTAACTCAGTACATAGGAATAAATAATCCAAAGAAATACTGCATATCCACAGCACGCTCGCGTTAAGGCAGTAATTGTAAGCGTAAGCAAATGCGCGAGAGCCTAAACTTGCTTTCAAACAGGATTTACATGTTTAAGGTTAAATTATTAGTCCATAGCGCTGGACGGCGGCTCGATCAAAGAAGCAGAAGGACGCTCGCAGTGGTTTCTCTCCCTTCGTAGCGAAGCGTCCGGCCTGGAGAGACCACTGCTTGCAGGGTATTGTTTCTAGCGCTGTAGCAAGTGACGCCGCACCGGCAGGACCAACGTTATTGCGAGACAAATCCAAATTTGTCAGAGTTGTGTTTGTTTTAAGCGCCGTAGCAAGTGACTCCGCACCGGCAGGACCAAGGTCGTTTTGAGACAAATACAAATTTGTCAGAGTTTTGTTTGTTTTTAGCGCTGTAGCAAGTGACTCCGCACCGGCAGGACCAACGTTATTTAGAGACAAATCCAAATTTGTCAGAGTTGTTTGTTTTTAGCGCTGCAGCAAGTGACTCCGCACCGGCAGGACCAACGTTATTGCTAAGAAAATTTAAATTTGTCAGAGTTGTGTTTGTTTTTAGCGCTGTAGCAAGTGACTCCGCACCGGCAGAACCAACGTTATTGTAAGACAAATCCAAATTTGTCAGAGTTGTGTTTGTTTTAAGCGCTGTAGCAAGTGACTCCGCACCGGCAGGACCAAGGTTGTTGTGAGACAAATCCAAATTTGTCAGAGTTGTGTTTGTTTTTAGTGCTGTAGCAAGTGACTCCGTACCGGCAGAACCAACGTTATTGTGAGACAAATGCAAATTTGTCAGAGTTTTGTTTGTTTTTAGCGCTGTAGCAAGTGACTCCGCACCAGAAGGACCAAGTTCACTACCAATCAAAACCAAATTTGTCAGAGTTGTGTTTTTTTTTTAGCGCTGCAGCAAGTGACTCCGCACCGGCAGGACCAACGTTATTGTCAGACAAATCCAAATTTGTCAGAGTTGTGTTTGTTTTTAGCGCTGTAGCAAGTGACTCCGTACCGGCAGAACCAACGTTATTGTAAGACAAATGCAAATTTGTCAGAGTTTTGTTTGTTTTTAGCGCTGTAGCAAGTGACTCCGCACCGGCAGGACCAAGTTTACTACCAATCAAAACCAAATTTGTCAGAGTTGTGTTTGTTTTTAGCGCTGTAGCAAGTGACTCCGCACCGGCAGGACCGACGTTATTTAGAGACAAATTCAAATTTGTCAGAGTTGTGTTTGTTTTTAGCGCTGCAGCAAGTGACGCCGCACCGGCAGGATCAACGTTATTGCTAAGAAAATTTAAATTTGTCAGAGTTGTGTTTGTTTTTAGCGCTGTAGCAAGTGACTCCGCACCGGCAGGACCAACGTTATTGTCAGACAAATCCAAATTTGTCAGAGTTGTGTTTGTTTTTAGCGCTGTAGCAAGTGACTCCGCACCGGCAGGACCAACGTTATTGTCAGACAAATCCAAATTTGTCAGAGTTGTGTTTGTTTTTAGCGCTGTAGCAAGTGACTCCGCACCGGCAGGACCAACGTTATTGTCAGACAAATGCAAATTTGTCAGAGTTGTGTTTGTTTTTAGCGCTGTAGCAAGTGACTCCGCACCGGCAGGACCAACGTTATTGTCAGACAAATCCAAATTTGTCAGAGTTGTGTTTGTTTTTAGCGCTGTAGCAAGTGACTCCGCACCGGCAGGACTAACGTTATTGAGAGACAAATCCAAATTTGTCAGAGTTGTGTTTGCTTCAAGCACGGCAGCAATCACAGCAGCAGCAGCGTCATCTATAACTCCATATCTGATCTCACACTGTTGAAGTGCCAGACATGCGCCAAAGGTACGGGCCAGCTCCATGTGAAAATTACTGCTTTCAATTTTGCTGTCTTTAATGCAATCCACTGCAACAGGAAAACATTTTTTCACGTATTCGTTCTTTACTTTATTCGCTATACTGATGACAAGAGCTATTGCAATTTCTTTGGATCTTACTGCTAGGAGACCACAGGTAAATTTCAATACCTCTCTCAGCTCTCCGAAATATCTAGTGTCAGTCACCAATATTTCAGGATTGGTTTCTTTGCTAACAAGTTGGCAACAAAGATAATGTGCCGCGAAGAATTCTTGAAAACTCTTATGCGTAAAGCCGTAGCACATACACGGTCTTCGTTTGCTGCTTCCAGGTTGAGCTGACAGAAATCCAAATCCAGGTAGGTCGGCATCTTTTTTTGCAACGTTTTTGTCCTCGAAGTACATGTTGTCTTCATACAGGCCGTTTAAAGCTATCAAGCCAAGGTGTTTCAGCTCATCTTTGTAGATTTCAATCAGATCCTCATTTTCGACTGGGAGACCTTTCTTTTTCCTGTATCTAATAAGAACACAATGTACTATTTCCAAGTACAACTGAGTTCTGATTTCAGGTAAGATACCTTGAAAGTCTTCACAAAGAAGGCAAAGCAGTGCAGTGTTTAATGGGTTCGCCGTCATCTCTTTAAGCCTTTTCTCATTCTGTATTTTATCTAACAGCCTTTCGGCCAAATCTTCCTTGCCGGCAAAATATTTGTGAATAAATTCTTTGTTATCTTGATAAGTGAAACCTTCAATCTCTAGCAGAGTGTCACAAACTTTTCTCACAGGTATCCCCCCCTCGTGTCGCGCTGTAATCACAAGGTGACATAGAGAAAGGATTTTGCCTTGTATGATGTCGGTAAACTCCGGCCGTTTGCTTGAAGGTAACTCGTCTAATCCGTCAAGTATAAGTAAAACCTTTGATTGATTTTGCCGAATGAACTCAAAGAATTTCTCTTTTTCCTTTGGTTGAATTTCACCTGGCAAAAGCTGATCGTCAATAGCTGCCCAAAGGTCGGACCCGATCGCGACATCACGGCATTTCAGTAAGAGCACCATCTCAAATTCCGGAAAGCAATCTCCTTTTTTTATATTGATAGCCCAGTCGTAAGCAACTTTATTGCAGTATGTCGTCTTTCCCATACCTGGCATTCCTTCAATCAATACTTTTCTAGGTTGTTTGCATTCTTCGTGGGGATTGAAGATTTCAGTCGTTTCAACAACTCTTTGCTTCGCTGTTGCCCTCGCTTTTTTCTCTCTGCTGACCACACGAAGCCGTGTATAAATATCGCTTAGTTGAAAGTTAAAGTCTTCGCACCAAGGAAAGGGCGCGAGCCATCCCTCATGACGTTTGTACTTCTGGCGAATGATTTCACTATGCTCGGCAACCAAACCAACTGTTGAGAATAAATGAGAACCAAACTTTCTTGTAGATATTTGTCTAAAACAGTTTTGTTTGCTAATTTCCAAGTCCGTAAAATAAATGAATAGGACTAACCAACTAACCATACTTGGAAAAGGCGATTTGCTAAACAAAACTTAAATAAGCTTTAATCAATTATCTCCCGGCCGTAGCCAATGTGCACCGCCTTGAAAGCAAGCGTAAAACATTCCAGTCTAGTGGAGGGGGGTGAGGGGGCTTCAATAAGGAAATGAAAGATGGGAAAGGCCCTCTCTTTGATTTAACGGCAGCCTTTTAGCAGACCACTGAATTTGCGAGAAGCAAGGAAAATGGACCACTGGTTATGAGCTTTATGTTAGCGTGCTTGAGTACCTACGGAGGTCCCACAAGGGACATGATGCAAATAAAACTACTGCTGCAAAATAAAAACACTTGCTTAAATTTTTTTAAAATGTTGGGTGACTCCTCGGTACAATAAAAACCAATATGGCCACCATTCTAGTAGGCACCATGCGTAACAGGCATCGAAAGGGGTAGGTGATAAGGAAGAAGGGAAAAAGGGAGGAACGCGCTTTTCTTCCTCTGCCCCTCCCCCTTTTGCGCCTACCACGCAGGCTACTGGTATAGGCCGCTCCAACGTCACGATCTTACGAGAAAATAGAGGACCACAAACAGCCTAGGGCGTTTGTTTCTAGTTCAAGATATGTCATTCGTCATCCCTCTCGCTGAGAGAATTACAATTTTAATTGAAGGTTAATGAATACAACACTTTGGGTCCTCCTTGGATACGAAACTGTTCATTTGAGAGCGACACTACCTTTTTGTTTTTGTCTTTTATAAAATTTTTCGTTTATATAATTCATTAAGAGAGAGATTTTGAAAAAATAGAAATACACTATATCAAATTAAAATAGTGCAGCCATTATCATAAAACAGCGATGTCTCAAACCGATTTAGGTCTGCGATTTTGGCTTCATCATAGGCTGTATGTAACAAACATGTCGTCGTTTAACTTCATCCTTTGATAAAATTATATTTTCTTTTGTCTTTAAACTCATTATTATATATTGCCATGCATAGTATAATTACACAGAACAAAGGAAAATAAAATCTTAACCAAAGATCAAGGACCATAATTTGTTCTGTTCAGTTGATTCTTTACCTCATGGCATATAATGTTTTTCATTATCAAAATGTAATGGAGACGTTTTTAGGGCTGTGGGTGAACTTACCCTTTGTTTTGTTATCTGTTGTGTCGTTGTCATTCAACGCTCTTCTGGTATTTCCCATTTCCTTTCTTGCCTGCCCAAGATTGTCATTTCTGTCATCTAAAAATAGGAAATAACCTGATATTGAATATAAAATCTGAAGTTCTATAGAATTTCACCCTCTTACCTTTTCATATCTGATTTGCATTTGGGCTACATTTTAATATCACTAAGAAACAGTTACGTCATTCAGAAGAAATCGGTAAAACGGAAATCAAAATAGCCTGCGTGCAAGCTCTCCGGGAGCGCTCTGGCAGCGGGGACGGGAAAGGAATGACAGCTTGCCACTGCTTCTCTGGAATTTGAATTACACCTCCAATTCCCCTGTGGTTCCCCGCCGACTGAGCTGTAAGATTTCCGCCAATCAGCGCGCAGCGGAGACGAGCGCGAATATAAACAAACATTGAAAACACGTAAAAGATGGAAGTGACGTCATTACTAATGTCTTCTCCGAAAATCAGCATTTCGCATCAACTTTTTCGATGCAGATATTCAGTTTCCAGAGAGGTAGTTGCAAGCTCTCCCTCCTTTTCCCGCCCCGCTGCCAGAGCGCCCGGAGAGCTGCTCGAATGCTAAAATCAAAAGGGAACAGATCTTTAAATGTGAATATCCTTACCAACAAGTGTCAACACCCCGTTCCTCTGTCGATGCTAACACCTCGTTTACGAACCAGCATTTTTAAATGTAAATTCTGTAAAAAGGGCACCTATAGCCTGTTCCAGGCATTTGAATAGTGGGACAGCAGTGTGAAGTGATGCAGTGAAAATAATTAATGAAATACAAGAGGAGAACACCCTTTCTTTCTCACCACCTTTCAGCCTTACATTTCCCCTTACAGGAGCAAGAGCAAGATGCACCATTTCATATCATATATTACTTCACGTTAATACAGAGAGGATCTTTCGTTTAGGATGTCTTGGGTGTATTGGACAACTCTCCAACATCCCGTGAAAAGAACAAATGATAATAATGTGGACACCCTATTTATACAAACATGCCGATGATTCGCACCCTTTTTTATACATGGTAGCGCCGTCAACTAAACAGAAGAACACTTACCGACATAGTGAGTCCAATCTTTAAAAACGAGTGGGTCATTTAACATGTTGGACACAAGAGAAGCTGCCATCGTGCAGGCAAACGACTTCCACAGTTCATCAGGGGGATCGGGATCATTGATGAAATGAGAAACGCCTTTGACAATCACCCATTCAATCTTCATGTCATGTGCTGCTACAAAGACACCTAAAACAATTAACGAAACACATAGATAAGGTAAAAAAGACCAAGAGAATTGAATGAGATTCATCGTTTTAAAATCGATAAGGAAGCGAAAAAGAGATTTCAATTTTAACCCCGAGAAAAATTTTAAAGTTTTGCAGGATTCTTTCCCCAGACGAAAACCTCTTGGTAATCATTTTCCCCGCTATTCATCTATTCATATTCGCGTATTTAAAAAACAGATTCATACTTCCTGTTTGTACAGAATCAAGTTTCTGCTACAATATCATGGGTGGCAAATTACTCCTTATTTTTGGCTCGAATTCATAATTTCACTTCTCGTGAGCGTCATTTGTTCCACTCTTCGTTAAAAGGTAGAGGCTGGGGAAATTATCAGAATTTCGACAAAAAACGCGAGAAATTATTCCACTCGTCACCATTTGATCACCATACATGCAAAAATTGTACAATGATAGCATTTTCTCGGTTACTCTCGCTTTTTGTGACTACATGCTATGGTTTTGCGGCATACTACTGTAGCCGTCGTATTTGCCGTTTGAACTTTTTGTTTTTAATCTTAAAATAAAAAAAAAATTCTATAGCGCAAATGCGACTGTTATGAATCCACCGACTCTATTTTTTTTCTGAAAGTTGTACTGAATGCCTTAAGGTGCCACTAACAGCTTCACACAAAAGTTAAGTTTTTGTAGTTAAAAGCCTTTTAGCTGGCCCAAACGGGGCAAAAATAAAAATTATGGCCATGATCGAATATACATAGAAATCAGAAAATTGAGTAAAATAAAAAACATGCAACCTTAGTGTTTCTAGATATTCTAGAAAGTCAAGCCGTCCTTCCTAATTGCGGATGACTGACATGACCCTCAGACGACAGCACAAGAAAATAGAACTACTTTTCCCTTAGGCTTTTTCTTTAAAGAGCACTATATAACATAAAACTTCATATGAAATCTTTGCAGTAAGTGAAAATTTTTCTTCACATTCATGCAAATTGATCATTTTCTTTTTTTTTCCGACTACCTTTGTGCATGAATGAGAAGTGTTGCTAAAAGGACAAATTGAATTTTTGTCATCTTTAAGTTAGTCCAAAATTTTGAAGATACCCATATGAGGCATGTCATCACAACTTTTAACATCAAAAGGTGAAACCTCTGCTTTTTCTACAAAACAAATACACGTGTTGAAAATTCTTTCAGCTTCACTGCTTGAACTAAATAGCTGTGTTACTCACCCGGGGGAAGACTCCCATATGAAAGGGGCGGGGATGCTTGTCGGAAATTTTGAATTAAACCCCTAAAGGAGACCAATCTGGGCGTGGCCCAACCTTTTTTTGACCCCTAAAACCGATCATTTTATACTTTGATTACATGAATCGAGTAAATAAAACGAATTGAAAACCAAACCCTAAAAGAGACCTTTACGGCTACATATAATGGTGTTTTGCCCAGAGCACCCTAAGCGATACGAAAATCTGAAATTTACACCCCTAAGCGAGACGACGAGCATCCCTGCCCCTTTCATATGGGAGTCCCCTCTCCCCTCCCCACCGGGGTGACTCATTTTCTAAGTTAAAACATGTTAAGGACTACAATGGGATTTGAGTTGCAAATGATACACAACCCTACAAATAATATAACAGGTTTAAAGCAAAAATAAGGCCAACCATCTCCTTCTGATTCAACAGCAGTCACATTTGAGTTGGACACATGTAATAGTTTAGCACTGGGCGGACCCACACCACACAATATCTCGCCATCACGGTGCACGTTTACTTTACGAGCGTTTGGAATTGTCAATGGTGGATTCCAGCCATCACTTGAATGCTGAATGAGACTCCCGATATCTTTTCCCACTGGAGTTCTGAAGGCCTGGGTAGAAAGCTTAGAGGATATCACAACATCCCCTAACCTCGCTGTGTCTGAGTTTGGACTCTTGCAGCAGCCAACGGAATAACAACTTTAGGTCTCAGTTGCGTCACTGCATTTTTGGTGACAATTTGGGAGCTACCTGGACCAGAAGAACCTTCACAACATTTCATCAAAGCGACCTTCAGTGGTTCACTCTCACTTTCACCCATGTTTCCAAAGTAAACATATCCAAGGTCTTTGCGATAACTTTTAAAGGGATTTTTCATGAAAGCGTAACATCCCAAGAACTCACAGTCCTCCACCGTCAACAAAAGAATGTCAACTGGGAGCCAATCATTGCTTGGCCAAGGCTCGGACTTGCTAGGAAGGTCACACATCTTGGGCACTTCAATAGAAAGAAGAGGTGGAGTGCCATGTTTCTCCACCTGTTCAAGAACATCTCCCTTTCTTTTAAGCTCCTGGTATTGGGCCATCAATCCTTCTTGTTAATTTCCTAAAAAGAAGGTAAAAAAAATTAGGGATGTAATTTGCGGTAAGTTTACTATGTAGGGTAATATAGGAGATACAAAATATGGAAATGATAATCTCATTTTGGGGGGACGTCCGCGCTTTTCTTTTAAGAAGTTTGTTTAGCGAGTTAAGCACACTTTGCGCCACGATAAGAAATTTGGGAAAACTCATGGGTTCAATCAAAACACAAACAACTGAATGTAAATGATAGGAGGAATATAAGGCACTAATTCGCTCAGGGTTACATAATAGCTGATAGTGCTCTACATGGTGTCCCAACAGTTCGTTCCTCTATGAATTGCATGAGCTACAACTTTTGATAAGAACTTAATTTTTACATGAAATTATTGCTCTATCGGGAACACGTATTCAGAGGTTTAGTAACCGGCATACCCCCTTTGTTGTTGTTGTTGTTGTTTTTCACACTCTGTAGTAGTTGCGGTATTGAGTGGGATAAGTCATGTAGCGTGTAGAGCCCCAGATGATTCAATTTAGGCTTTTTTATCGCCTGGTATGCAGAAGCCACTTGGACTACCAAACACTATAATTTTCTACATTAGGCAGCTGAAAAAAATATTTGGGGCATTGATCCAAGAAAAGATAATCATCCCGGCCGTTTCCACAGTAAAGCTTTATACTTCTTTACAAATTTGAGACAAGCTGAACGTTGCTTGGCGGACTAGGTTCTGGGTTTGTTTTGCCAACTCAGTGGTCTCCAAACTTTACTTTTCACGAACCCCGCTCCACACTTGCTAACTGTTGTGACAGCTACCTCGTCGGGTTTCCTCTTTTGTACCTACCCTTCTTTAAAACTATTTTAGCGGTTTTATTCAGGACTTGCGGTCTCCATTTCTCTATGACCATCTTACCACCCAACATTCGGAGTTTTCCATTTCTCTAGTAATTTCTTTAACTGATAAGCCAGTAGGTCGAAGTATACATGTTTATGCTCTTAGGCAGCTGAGTGTTTTTCCGTTGAGAGGGTTTATCTTTTACGATATTCACAAAAAACAAGGAAGGAGTTCGAGCAATTCGGGCTACAAAACACGAAAAATATATGGCGGAAAAATTTACTCGCGCAGCGCACCTTTGGCGCGAAAGTACACAAATCGAATATTCGAGTTAAAAGATGGTACAACAAGTATAAAATAATAAGTTAGATTGAAAGGCAAAACTTTTGTTTAAACTACTTGCTTATCAAGTCCAATCGTACTGCGTTAAAGACTGATAAAGTAGAGGAACGAATTTTTGAGACACCCTGTATTCTATACCCTAAAAGGGAGTAAAGCTTCACTGTTTCAACATCTTTCGTAACCTGCAAACATACTGACGTTTCGCTAGCCAGCGAACGCAGACGTATTTTCAGTCGTCACTTCTCGCCATTCAAAAACTGAGATGGAGAGAAGCGTCGACCGGAAATAAGCCTGCGTCTGCTGGCTAATTTTAGCACGAGAGGCTTGATTCGTGGGTAGTAAAACCCGCAAAATCGCTCGTAACTCGTTTGGCAGCGGTGTTCTAAAACAAAATGCCGTTTGGGTTGCACGTTTATCGTACCTTAAATTTAATTTGTGCATTCCATATTTTAGCATTTTGCAAACAAATGGTCTAACTGCATTTATACAATGATGTGAATGCTACGAGCGCTATGATTGGTCGTTGTCCGTGATTTATAAGAGTACAGATACATGGCTGACGTATGGGAAACTTCTTTTCTTTGTTTTGTTCAATATGGCACGCGGTTTTGAAAATGCTTATGAGATTATTTCGGATTTAAGCAAGTGAAAGCCTCGAAAAAAATAGCAGGAGTTATTTATAAAGAAAAAAAAATGGAGAAACGGAGACAAAATTTAAAAGAGCTCTTTACAACTTGAGAATGCCCAAAACTACAAGAAATCTTCACAACAGTTGCCATCGTGTGTCATCGCTACGAGACTCGCTGTTTTGCAAAATCTTTTCGCCATTTTTCTGCTTTGAGCAAGAAAAGACGTTCGAAGAAACTGCATGTACACAAGTAAGACGAAAAGTAGCGTTTGGGACATAACAAATGCCTAAACTACCACAAATCCTCGAACAGTCAAGCGGTACGAGGCAGGTATGTGTATCGGTCGTTTTTCTTTTCTGATCGTTGTATAAAACAAATGAATATAACTGCTTGCAGTCTCTCATAAACCTTAAAAAACTATAGAGCAGTTAAAAAAAGAAATCACCAGGATTGCATGAAAAGAATTTGAAGTGTGGCTGCATTCATTATATATACAGCAGGGGGGGGGGGGGGGGGGG